CGGGAGTGTCATGGACACTGATCTCCGATCGTGATCCGGTTGATTCAACATCACTCAGCCGGACGAGGTGCTTGAGTAGATCTTCCAGGGCAGGCAAAACAGATGAGCGTAAACTAGACCAGGGAATGTCTGAACGCCGTCGGGAAACTGAGTCACTGGTGTCGACAGAGATGGATACATCTGCTCCACCAAGTTCAAATGCAAGCAGGCTTGTTTGTCGGCCAAGAGTATCACATGCGTGTAGTACGGTCGTGGGTAAACCATCCAGATTTCTTTCCCGACAGACAACATATGCCTCCACCTCTGCCCGAAAGGCGTCTAGTGTATCTGTCATTTGCAACAAAGCTAAATCGGGACCAGTTTCACCGGTAGCCGAGTCGAAGCCAGAATGTGTGAGCTGAACTAAATCACGAATGAGAAGTTCCAATCGTGAAATCAACGCAGATAGGGACTTTGGCAAATTGTCATTACCATGCATAACGCCGGCTGCAGGTGTGACACCCGCCCCGCAACTGGCAGCAATCATTGAGTAGCACGCTTCAGGAGCTTGATAAACATCGTCTACTTCCGTGTCGTGTTCCTCGCTGTGCAAATCAGTACCGGTCGATTCCAAAGCTTGGTGTATCGGGTCACGGTCACCACCGTTTGGAGAGGGGGATTCTGAAGCTAGTGACAGTGTCTCTTCCTCACCGGATCGCGTCACTTCTTCCGTGTTGGACTCCTCTCCGGAGCGCTCTAGTGAATCTGGACGACGATCCTCGGCATCAGAATCATGGCCATCTTTGGGGTGACGACGTTGACGAGGTAGATTACTATTTCCGATACGATGATGTTTTGAACCAGCAAATCCATCTTTTGTGAAACAGTTACTAGTGTTTCCGGTGTTATTACATCCTACACAAACGGAATGACCATCTCCGCCAGGATAGCCGTGTGTTGAATCCGCTATACGTGCACCGGGCTCATGGTTTTGAGAACGAATCGCGCTAAAGCTAGATGTTTCCAAGATTGGTTGTGTCTCACTGAGGTAACTGGCGATCATCGGGTTTGAACTGATATAATAGAACATGGGAGGGAAAACGCGAGAAGCGAAACCAAGTCAGAATCGAAAAAGACAAGTCTAAAGTGAACTCGTAATTTGTATGCTAAGAGAAAGTACACCATCAGTCAACAAATGAAAACCCGAATCCAGCAAAAAATTCATGCATGAATCGATCAAGCCGTCTAGAGCCGTGCTCACCATCCCAAATGTATGAGATGCAACCATATGACCTGCTTTTGCAGAACAGAAAAGAATTTATCGACGCTGCGAGGACGCTGTCCTTCATTATCCTTGAAACGAGAATGTCTATTCCGATTCCGAACAAACACCAAGTGGAATGTGCAACACGTGTGTGCAGAATGCATGAGGGCTGATAAAGTCTTCCGACTTTCGGCGGAAGGGGCGTATCGAATGCGTGACATATCGGTAGCAGTGGTGTGGAACACAATAACGCAATACGGTGAAAATGGACCAAGTGTAAAAATAACGAATCTTGAGTGTTGTTGCTGTTACCCTGTGATCGTATATATTAATGTAGAAGCTTGAGCAAGAATAATCGAAAAGAAATCTCTTGGAAGATCTATTCAATGAACAATAGGAATGTTTCAACAATTAAAAGTAAACATTCTGACTCAGAGGCGTGGATCAGTCTGTTGAGCAAAACACTCCAGCCCACCACTGCCTTCGCCTATTTTTATGGATAGGCAGATTCCCTGTAACTGTAACCGGTATCAAGGGGTCAGTTGCCGGTTCTCATGACCTACCATGACGGGTTTAATGGTCGTTACCCTTCAGCACTTGAATATGTATGATGGAAATGTTTGTATGTTGTAAATGTGGTTCGGATTATTTAGGAATAAAAAACGTATAAATAAGTAGGAAGAAGCACATGTTAACAAAAATGGGAAAGTTAAGATAAATAGAATAATTGAATAAAGAAGTACAAGAGCGCACAATTGAATCGGCAAAATGAAGCTGAATAGCGTAATGCCGGTGAAATTGGATCGAAACAACTGCATAAGTAAACCGATTCAATTCCGATCCTAATCTTTTGCATTAAAAGACGGGCTAGATAAGCAATCACTTTGTCCTTGAACCACTTAATGTGGAAACATAAAAACCAAATAAAAATTCAAAGAACATCGGACAGTGAACAAAAATTCGTACCTTGAATAAAGGGAGTTTGGGTTGCACTGAAACAGAAAAAATTAAATGACATTCGGTTTATTTCGCAACAGCGGTAATGACACTCAGTCGTACCGCACGGACGGGGAAATCTGGGTTCGAACATTTCCAGTTGTTGGTTTCATATGTTAGTACTAGTTTTCTTGGGCTGTACCATGAACTGGGCTGCCGTATTTACGACAACGATTATTCGCTAATGAAAAATTGATGTAAAAGCGGTGTGCTCAGAAGCACGGGGGAAATACATTCTATTGTCAGGGATCTTTATATGTGTTTGTAATGAAACAAAACATCTTTGAATAGTTGAATATTTTGTAACAGCTTACGTAACCAACTGATTTAGCATCCGTAACGCAACTGAATTTGGTCTACCTCATACAGATTTTGGTCCATATTGTTAGGCAAATGAGGAACGAGAGAAAAACCGCTTGAGTGTAAAACTACAAACGATCACACACCAGCAATACCCGGCATTTCTTACTCTGAGGGAAATTCTTTTTCATGCAGCGCCTGTGATGCAGACAATGAGACAGGAGCATTGTGTTCAGGCAACGGAGGTGGAGGTGGGGGTGGATACTGTAGAAAGAACAACGAATTCGTGTTCAATGGTTGTTCACCAATATCACGAGGAAGATGCAATCGCGGCTGGGCTTGAGTTGAGGGGGTTGAATTGACAGTTGACCCGATCTCATTTAGGCTTTCCAAATAGCGACCAATGCGATCCTGAGGTGGTAATGTGGCAAACTGATCCATTGCCTCAGCATCTAGACGGAGTGCGGGCTGTGAAACAGTTCGGGTAGTGGCTTGAGTGGAAATAGCAGAAACGGAACTGGTGGTGATACCAGTAGCACTTGGAGATGGTTGAAAAGTTCCATGTGACGGGAGACCTGCGGGAACGGATGACTGGCTGACCAGGTTAGCGGGATATGAGTTTTTCGCTTGAACGAATGCATTGGGTGCCTATATATGCAGCAGGGGATCGGAAAAGTGAAAATGATATTCATTACACGATCAAATACTCACAGACGGGTAGTGTGTACTATTATGAGACAAACCCACCGCAATAAAAACGTAAACCGCAGTTAGCAAAAAGCACCCGCTCGTAATTTGATGTGCACGGAGTGGAAATCTGCATGGCATATGCGTCAAAAGATTGACAAAACCGTAAATACACATCAAGAAGTTCGAAATGAAAACCAAAAAGTAGAACAGTATGCTTTATTAAACAAACGGTGACTAGGGATGTGATGTGCAATAAATTTGATTAGGGCCAAAAATAGCTGGAAATCACGCGCAGAGGTAACCGTTGAGTAAATCTGAGAGAACCCATTGCACGGGCAAGGCAGTGTGAAAAGTCTAGTTCAAATAAATTGGGTGGAGGGAGTAGAAACCAAGAAAAACGACAAAGATGCGCTGAAAAATACACCATGTTCAAATTGACTACAACAGACCGAAGGGAAAGGAAATTCGATAGCATGCACACGGCAAAAGCCTGCGGCTTCCAAGGTCAAACTACCGAAGGTTTCGGAGAAAAGACAAGGCTTGTATTTCACTCACAGGAGATAGACCACTTGTAGAAGACAAAAACAACAAACAATGAATAAGGATTGTTCGAAAAATATCTCAAATGTGATACCATAAAAAATTATTATATACATGATCACCCACGGATGTTGAAATTTCAAGTGTTTCAATGATTTATCAAGATGCGATGTGAATAACTCAACTGTAGGAGCACACAAAACATGGGAAGGAAGAAAATTTCATACATTACATACTCTAACTGCAAACAACAATCTAGGTGACTGTTCTGGGTCCTCAACTTCAATGCAGGTCCCCCTGAAGTAACTATTTTGAGATAAAGTCAACACAGAACGGAAAGAGTGGTTGGCTTGATGCAGTACATGGGATTTCCAGATTAGGTCTCCCCCCCCCACACACCCTGAAGTCAACGGTGCATCGATGAGTAAAGCCCAAATGCTTGCAGTCTTTAGGAGTATATCTTATTATACAGACCTTTTGCATTTTCATCGCTAACCTTTTGGGACGTTCTAGAACCTTCTTGTCGCGATTCAATCATGGATTCCAAACTGGGACGACGCATTCCGTGTGTGGCGGAATGAACGTACGCGTGGGAACGGTGCTATTTCGAACTGCGCGAAAGCACGTTTACGTAGTCTATCTTGTTTTAGAGCCGCGGATGATGCTTTGGCAGTGTGTGGGACATCCTATGTCTTCTTGTACCATAATTCTCAAACCCCTTTCACCAGTGGCATGCGGTACTATTTGATAGGAGAAATGAGTCTTGTACCGCGTGAAAACAACTTTCAGTTTTGAAACGCTGAATTAAACGTCATTGATGAATGACCGTATTGGTCGTTTCTTGGAGTACCTAGTAATCCTCGGGATGTGCTACTGGTCTCCAGAGCTTAGCGTCATCCGTCAATAGTAGTGTATTCGGTCCAAGGGCACTTGGTGAGTAGTTTATTGATGCATGGAAAAGAGGAGGCCCCAACACGGATCTTTGCGGAATCCGTCGGAAAGCTGCGATAGGTTCAGATAAAGGACCATAAAAGTGAAGTGACATGGTTATTTGCCAGGGAAACTCCTTAATACCGTCGATAACCAAACCACTTACTCCGTAGTTATCACAATAAAATTTGGTGGTTCACTCGATCGATTGCTTTGGAGAAATTCGAATAAACTATGTTCAATGGCTCGCCTGCATCCACGGACTTAGTCCACTTATCTCGTGCAAGAGATAGATTAGTGGTGCACGAACGTTTATGCTGAAATCCATGCTGCGGAGGAGACAAAACCTCATGCTTCTCCAAATACTTCATCAAGAGACCTGCCACAATAGCCTCCATGACTTTTGACAGCATAGGAAGAAGTGTAACAGGGCGCTAGTTGGCGGGAAAACTGCGGGCTCCCTTTGTAAATGGGTGAAATCAACCCTTCCTTCCATGACTGCGGAATTACCACCTTGTTGAACGTCCTTTGGTAAAGAATAGCCAGAGATTGGCTAGTGAGATGAAAGCCCAAGGATGCATGTTATCTGCGCATCGGGATGAATTCTTACGCAAAGTTAGTAGTCTTGATCTCGTCATTTCACCGTCAAAAGCCATATTAACCAGTGATGTTTGCGGCAAACAGGGTTGTATGCTTCGAATGTGTACTGCTTTGTCATTGCAGTAAGTACCTGATCAAACTGGCTTTTAAGGAACTCTGCTTCTTTTAGCGTAGTAATCGAAACATGTCCGGACGATCTCAATGCTGATATTCCGAATTTCACCTTCCTTGTAGAGTTGACATAATTAAAAAGCAGTTTTGGAGTAGAACTGAATCTTTGAGTTAGGGTTTCGTGGTACATCAGTTTGTCCTCACGTACATTGATTTCGCATTAAGGTATATTTATTCCAAGTTTCGATAGATGGACACCTGTGTTCCCGCCAGGAAAAACCCCCTTGCTCTATCTATTTCTTTGTCCGACTGCGAGTGGATGATTGCAGAGTTTACGATTCAGTACAAGGTTTGATACTTGTCGCAGTCTGTTATTTCGGTAAGATGTTCTGTGAAGCTCTTCCATGCCACCAAAGGACAGTGATCGGATTCAGAAAGGGCCCATTGCTTAAGTACAGTCAAGGTTTTGCAAATTTTCATGGTCTACGATAGCAAGAGTACCGCTTTCCCGGATTTCTTGGGTAGAGGCGCCGCCGATGTAATCGAAATTCAATAAGGCATGCTCACTAATTTCTAATGGAGACGTGACGATTCCACCATCAGCTCCTCGTTTGGTAGCAGTAAATCTGGGGATGACGGTACGTGAACTGTTCCAAATCTGTTGGGTTCCGTTAAATGGTTGTACAATGAATGCAAGCCAATGAACTGTGATAATTGTTTCTCGAATGGTTGGCGGGAAATCCTCGTTCTAAGAAGATTGGGTAAATAATATCACCCATTACAAGGAGATAGGTGAGTTTGGATGATAATTCATTCGGTATGGTTGGAGACAGAATCCTGTTAGCGGAGTCTGAAGATGCGGGAGGTCGGTACACGACGCCGATTAGACACCAATAGCTTTTGGAGAGTCTTACTGAACACCATAACGAATCGGGAGCTGCATCGGGAATATCAATCTGTTCACACTAAAGATTGTTTTGATGGTAAATTAGCACTCGTCAGACTCGTGTAGGACGACCACGTCTGAGCAGCGACATTCTAGATAGACCCAATTCTGAGTCAAGAGTATCGGTGATCAGCCAGGTTTCCGTAACAGCAACAAAATCGCACGGATTGGTTTTTCAAATCATCTCTATTTGGGAGAATTTGTTTTCCTGTAAAAACATGAAAGATATTTCCGGTACATAAATCTATCTGGTAACGTGGTGTTGTTCTGCTGATTTGTGGTCGGCTTCGTCGGTGCTGCTTGATGCATGTGGAGTGATAAAAACCGTGCTAATAGAGGAATACAGCGTATTAGCATCAGATTCCATTTTCGGACTTTGCTGGAATCTAGTATTGAGGTAGTCTTAGGAGTAATTTCGGCAGACCCCTTTTTCTATTCTTTTTCCACGACTGCAATATAGATTTGGCCATTTCTGGCATTCCAGTGGTTACTTTCATTACCTTCGGATCTTTCCCGTGGTAGTTCGGTGAGTTTGGTAGACGGCTAATTGCCGTGGGAAGAATATGGGTACAAGTAATAAGGTTTCAAAAAGGGAGTTTGTCATGTGTAGAGCAAACGAAGGGTGAGCTGAAAAGCTC